AGCTATCTTGAACACTTAAGCACTAAATTAGCAAAAATATTACACCTTATACTAGCTCCTTTCACACGATGATGGCTAAACTTTAGCTTTGATTAGATCTGAGTACTTAAACGCGAGCAAGGACATGATATTTGCAGCCGGATACGTTGCCGTGGAGTGTTCCCGAAGGACATCCAGGGTATAATAGCGGCCCTGATGACTCCTGCAATTATAACATCAAGAAGACGTGTCTTCAGGAACACGAGGCCCGCGACCATCATCCTCAAACGACACCACCGGAACAAAAGGACCGAATTCCTTTCTATGTCGGGTCTCCTTTCTGGAATACAAATTTTAAGGACACCAATTGTTACGGTTCCATCCTCTCAAAAACTCTAAATTGTTCCCTTTTTTTGAAAAAAAACATCCTCTTTTACTCTTTTTTTTGTTTTCTTACAAAGTTCCTATATTTTTTAGTAATACATTTACGATATTGTTCCTGCGCTATATTTTATAATGGACCTCAATAACTTAACTTCTGTATTATAGAAAAAAAAATGTTATAAATAAATATAAATTACCACTGATTCATGGAAACATTCCTACATACAAAATCGTTGTGAAGTAAGTGGAGCTGCGGAAAATTTATTTTTATTAAGAGTAAGATATATATTGTAAAAAAATATAAATTATGCTATGAATCGATCTTCTTCATAAAGTTCATGAGTCCATGAATACAATTCATTATCTTAGCGTAGATCTTTGAAATTTGTATATCAAACTGTAATATTTTGTTATTTTGTTAGGTAGGCAATGTGCACTGTTAACAAATTAAAAATATTTAAGCAAAACCTTTAAATAATCATTAATTTTCTGCAAACAAACGAAACCAAATCAAATTAATTAACATAAATATATAACAAACAACTAAATGGTTATGTGATACGGATTTCTCTACATTTTTTTTTCTTCTAAATTAAATCAATTAAAACCATACGATTAAATTAAACCATCCAGGGTTTTTTAAATATAAAAAAAAACTGGTTCAGACCAATAAGCAACATGGCTGGGGGCTGTCCACTTGTGGTGTTCATTAGAATAATTTTGAATCTCAACTGTTTTTGTTTTAATACCTCATGATCCCATACACGTATTATATACTGAAGAGGGGGATAAAAATTAGTCGGATAAACTAAGTGTGATTATTTTATTGAATCTGCCGATAGATAAAAATTATTGAGAAAATAATGTGTTACTTTTTGAATATATGTAATAATCCAAAAAGAGTCTATGACAGTGTGATCTTGCGTTTACCTATAAAAATTTTGAATAATGGGACAATCATGGGTAATTTGAATCCAAAAAAGAATATTGGTCATGAATATTGGTAATATATTAGATGTTACAGAAAATTTGAAGTTAACAGATTCCAATAGGAGGTTTGTTGAGGAGTGAAAACATAAGGTGTAAGAATATTCATAAATATCTTGTGTATTATTGAAGTTATCATCATATAATGTATTAGAATTATAATGAAACTCCGACCTGCAGATAATATCTCAAAGGATTTTTTTTTTTTTTAAGAAACTCTTCTTTTTCATCAAAGTCAACTCAACAGTTTGTGAGATATCCTTAGAAAGAGCGGACTGAGAACGATATTTTTTTTTTTGTTTTAATTTTATTTTAGATTCAAGCGATGTATTAAAACATCATTTACACAGTAACTGTTCCTGTGAAATGTTGAGACAATGTGGCTATGGGCCTGTGTTATACGCACTGACGATAAATATGGTTACGGAAAAAAAATGGAAGATATAAAATTGAATAATATATTTTTTTATTGTTCCTTTGAGAAATAATTGAATAACGTAAAAACATTGGATAGAATCTATTTCATGTTCAGAAATAATGTGTTCTTGACTGTATATGAAAATTACGTTTTCCTGTACTATTATCATAAGGTAATCTAGGTCCACTGTCAAGACATTTACATTTGGTAGTTATGCAACAATAGCTGTCACTGCAGCAATAAGCTCTGTCAACTATTAAACCGAATAGTTTGCTATTAATCCCAAAACTTAATGTCATGATGCCAGTTATTATACAGGTTGCACCATAACAATGGCTGTGTTGGTAAACTGAAACTGTCACCATCTGAACAGACTTTAAATGGGTTTTGGAAAAAAAAATCTCGACCATCGCTACCGTCTGATAGAACGTAGAATATTATTTTGATAAAGAAATTGTGTCATTATTATAAACGTTGATGACTTCTTCAGAAATCACTCATTGCTTACGGCTATCGAACCGTTAGCACAAGACAAGCTCTCACGTGACCGGTTCTTCATCGAGACAGGTCCTTAGAAGACGAAGGCACGGCCGTGGAAGAAAGGCATTGAGATGGGAGGGCCAATTAATAGTCCAGAGGGGGCTTTGGCCTCTGGAGGATACATCTCATTACCGGGGATCTATAGCAGCCATCATCACTTCATCAAAAGGATCAAAGAGGTCTCGCATATCCTCAGCCTCTTGTACTCTTCAGCGTGTCTTCCACGTACCCTTCTCAATAGGCTGGATCAAAGCATGCCTTCCTACTAAAGAGGAGTAGGTGATAGCAGGTATTTTTTTTCATCAAGTATCCTAATGATTGATCACCGTATGATCCTTGGCGTATCGCTTGCCTTATATATAAATGTATTTATTTATAAATATCATTCATAAGAAGAGGGTTACTTAGCGGGTAAGGTACTCAAAACTCGACTTTCTGGGTTGGAATGCAGTCCAGAATCATATATGTTTAAAAAAACTTACAGAACTCTGTTTTTATCTTTGCTCTGAAAAAAAGTAAGCTACTAGTTTGACGAGAGCGCATCTATGTTTTAGTGCGCAGAAATAAATCTAGTATTCCCATCCGCCTTAGCGTGGGAGTTCTGTTTTGTTGTTGGAGCTTTCGCTATATCGTAACGCCTCAGTTTGGCATAGCTTTATGATTTTTTGTAGAACTGTTGAGTGCATGAATTACATCAAATTTTTGGTATTTTTCTATTAATTTTCATAACTTCTCCTGTATTAATTTTTATGTAATCTTATGCAATGAACCGATACTTTTTATATGCACTATTGTGTAGATCATTTTTAAATTATGGAATATTTATCGTAACAATAAATGGATTACTGACATGTCTGAAAATATATAATGTTCTTGGTACGTAGATAAACATGTGTGTTTATGAATGGATTGGTGGATCTACGATGACAGAGGAGGAGGTAGGACTTTAGGGCTGGAGCCCCTCCAAAATAGAAAAATATATTTATTTTTTACTGGTTCTTATTTGTTTATGTGGGCGATATAAGATAACACTTAAATAATCCCTATATTTTCTCTTTTTAAATTATAATAATCATACAGCTACGAAATGTGGGCACGTGTGAAGAAAAAATATATGAGATTTATCTTTTTTCACAATTAAGGTAAAAAAAAACAATTTTCTTCATATCTCTTTATTCACATTTATCACCTCTAACGTTTCGAGACAATTTTCCCGTCATCAGGGCAATTCTTATATTCACTGAAATTTGCTTTTTTTGATGTGGCACCATTTGTTAAAAAATTAAATATTTGTCACGTTCATTATATATTTATTTTGTGTTACACATCCTTTTTTTATTCATTGTTGCACTAACCTACATCTGGATAACCGAGACAATAATGATATTGAAGATAGCCAGATGTAGGTTAGTGTAACAATGAATAAAAAAAAGGATGTGTAACACCAAATAAATATATAATGAACGTGACAAATATTTAAATTTTTAGCAAATGGTGCCACATCAAAAAAAGCAAATTTCAGTGAATATAAGAATTGCTCTGATGATTGGAAAATTGTTCTGAAACGTTAGAGGTGTTGTGAATAAAGGGATATGAAGAAAATTGGAAGTTTTTTTGCCTTAATTGTGAAAAAATATATAAATATATATACGGAGGCTTCCTAAAAAAAGAAAAATAAAAAGAAATTTATCTTTAAAAATATTAAAAAAGAAACAAAAATTTTAGGAACAATAATTACTATAAGGATCACTTGAACATCATTTCATATACGTAGTTTTAACTTTTTCTTCCCGAGCAATTATCTTTGTTAAAAAAACAAAACAAGAAAAACTGTGATTGAAATGATACTGAGAATAAAAAAATATATGTATTTTTTGTTTTTATTATGACGGAAGAACACCCGGTTATTATATAATATATGTAATTATAATATTCATTATTAATTATAAGACGTATGATGTGTAGAAATGCGTTTAAAATAAAAATATTTTGAAGATATAAATTTAAATAATGAAATATGTATATATGTCTCTTTAATTTCTAATGCAGCAGTGTTTCAGTTTAATCACTTTTATTTATTTCCTATCATCATAATTGTGAGATCATAAGAGTGCGGGGAAGAATTATCTTAGATCTTAGAAGCATAAAAAAAAAATTAAATTCTATATTAATATTCTAGGAAGGAGTGATGATTTTGTGGAACAGCTGACCAACATTTAGATAACTCGGTTCACGTTGGTGTTTATATTTATAAATAACTTTTTTGAAATATTTACTGAAATTATGGTTTTAATTTTTAAAAAATTAATAATTCTTGATTTGGTGTACAGTATATTATGTAGCTGCAAGGCTGGAATATAAAGAATCAGCATTACAACAAAGACATTGCGTTCATACTTAACCTCAATATCCTAATACTTTTGGAATGATGGGAGCTGTTTCGTAATGGCGACATGTTTTTTTATGTCCCATTAGCAATTTTGAAATTGAACATAAAAAGCTTTATTCTCATAACGAATGAGGCGTGCAATTACTGTACATCAAACATTGCAGGTCACTTGGAAGGTTAAAGATTTCTCAAATATTAACCGTTCCTTTCACTTCTAGCTTAAGACTCATCATTTTGCCGACTATATTCTTGCCTAATATTAGCTTACACAAGGAGCACTTAAGGAATTATTTCTTGTTTCAGGAATGGCGCTAGCTATCACTCTTCTGGCGGTGAGTAACTCTCTGTTTATCATTATTATATTGTTTATATAATAGTAAATATTTTAATGTTTTGTAATATCGCCTTTACGAAGCATAATTGATTCATGATTGGTAATCATAAAATCATTTTCCACGTTTATACTCTTGAAGACCTCATCAAACACCTATAAACTCAACTAAAAAAAAATATTAATAGCAAAATTAGAGTATATTTCGTATTCTTTATATAAGAAATATCAACCAACTTCAACTTTTCAGTAAAACTAATCAACTCGCAAAGAAAAAAAAATCTCTATGTGGTGAATAAATCATCTCTAAAAGATCAGTTTTGGTCATTTTTATTATAACTTAACAAACTTTACAACAAGTGTTGTGTACAATATATATAGTCGGGTAAATGATCTTAATTCTTTACGGAGAAATATAGTTGAATTTTGTGAAACAAAAACACATATCCAGTGCCGTTCTACCACTGCTGCTGTTGAAGAAAGATGACGAGTCTGTCTTAAAGCTCAGGAAAATTACTTTGAAAAACATTTGTTACGAATGTTAATGTTTACATTTAATTAATAAAGCAGTTAGAACAAATAAATAGGTTTTGTTTATTTCATATAACGTAAATAATTCATAACAACAAAAATCTTTAGGTGTGAATATCTCCTAAATAAAGCGTTTCCGGCCATACCTTCAGAGGGATTTTTTTTTCTTGTTTTTAGGTCCTCAGTTCATTTTTGCAGTTTGGCCACTTAATCCTGAAACACCTTGTATATGTATATATATATATATATATATATATATATATATATATATATATATATATATATTGTACTCTCCACTTATTTTAATTTATATTTAAGTACGGAACGCATAAGTTTCCCTAAAATATATTTAAAATATTACTGGGTTCAGTATATAGAATTATTTTAGTAGAAGCAGAAACGACATTTTTATTTTTAGTCTTTGCGATGAAGTTATATAAATATAATAAATTAATTGAATTTTCTACCGTGAAGCCATCTTCTTGGATTGGGCTATAGACTTATCGCCCATCTAGATACTCCGGATAAGAATCAAGCCATTTTTTGTTTTAATAAACTAATTGTTTTTTAATAAACACCTTATTTACTGATGGTATTTGTATATTTAGTTTATATTTAAATGTTTAGTTATTTATTAAGTCAGCCGTAGATAAACTATTTTAATGTTGTTACGTTCTTTTTTTTTGTCGGAACTTGATGGGATGGGATCTCGTCTATTGGCTTCTGAAAAAAATTAAAAACACTATTTTTTTTTCCAGTTCATTCGTGTAAAATAACCTTTTTTTTTTGTTCAAGATCTACGATGTATTTCATAAGCTAACGGAGGGCTAATAAAACAATTTCATATTAATATACTTATGTTACTTGTCTCGTTCACTGATAGTTCACTGAAAAAAATTAATAAAAAAAATCAGGAACAAAAAAACACACCGCATCTGAAAGTGGTGATAGAACGCAGAAAAATAGTAAACAGTGGTTCATTTACAATAAACCTACCGATAATAGATACTTTAAGAGAAATTCTCATTATTAATCTGAACCACAGTTTTAGTTCTGATGGTGGGTCTTTGTCTGAAATAGTCTGGAAATTTTATCTTCTATCGACTTTTTTATATAAAAAAAAAAAAAAAAAAAAATTAATATTACACAGTTTTAAGTAAATAAATGTCAAATTGCAAATGAAAGAATCAAAATTACGAACTTATCTCCTAAATAAAAGTTATAAGAAAACAGTCCTAAAACAAACTCCAGCCTTATTTCGTTTAAAATCAACTGACAGTCTCGTATTGTGGCATGATGACTTGAGGATCTGTTATCACCCTTCTGGGTTTTTTTAACTGCAAATCTAATTATATTTGTACCCTCTAGAGGGCGTATAAAACGTATCGTTTGTTAGTGATTGGAAAACTGTCTACTACTAGTTCACCTCCCATAAATGGTATTTGTTATTTGTATTGATGGTGTCTCATATAAATTCAAATTGCAAAATATTATATAAATATACTAAAGAAAACCAAAGAGGGTAAAGGAGAGGAGTATTGGTGATTGGTATTATTTGATGATATTGATATGATGATGGATGATATCAAATCCTGTCAGAGTTCAATTATTTTTGTCCATCTTGTTTCTTACTATGTCAAAAATCTCTAGTTATCCTCTAATGGACTAACGACGCACAGCAATTATAGGAATCGGAATTAGGACTGATACAAGGTAGGGGTTGACCATGCAGGCATTTCACCATAATTGGATATTTCTCAAGTCAAGAGGGAAATATGTGAGGAATCCGTTGATTGCACCCTCCTATGATAAGGATAAACGCAGTTCTCAGAATGCACTTGCGCCAAGAAGATCAAGACCGTATTTCTCGCTAGAAGTGTTGGCTAAAGGACTCCGATGGAATCTGGTACAATAAAAGAAGGCAGGAGGTTCCAAGAAGAAGGGCAGTTGGATGACCGCAAGGTCCTTCTTACTCATCACCTTTACTTAGCCTCAAGGATCCTCCGGTCGGCCGTGCCATCATCACCAATAATATTCCATCACGACTCTCCAGATGGCTTTTTTTTTATAGCGTCATCCGACGTTTAATTTTAATTTTATTCCTTTTTCTACTCAGGATGTCGATTGCTCATCAAAAACATCTGATGTCACCTTTAGTGATAATTTATGTGTAATTCTTTTTTATGACTGCTGAAAAGCCTTCCTCCTGAAGACAAATTATTGAGGAAATGAGTTAAAGACATTTTACTCCGGGTTTCTTTTGACCCTGGCGTGAAAGAAAAAAAAACTAATTATTCGTCATAAATTCTAACAACGTCTAACTGAAATCTCACAAATTTAAAAGAGGTTAATAAACCTGTCCAATTTCGTTATTAATGACATATTTTTACAGATAAACGTTTTGAAAATATTTATTTGACGTTGGTACCTGTTGATTAGTACTGAATAAAGTCACCTATTTTGCTCAAAAATAGAGTTTTTGGAGTTGACATTTATATGACATAATATTAAAGTAATTTTTTTTTTAAACCTAATTATACCAATTTTTCCGAAACCAATCTGTGCTACAATACGAACTATTTTTCTATTTTATAGTCTTGATATTGCTTCATTAATTATTTAAACTATCGTTAATGGTAATAAATAATAGATTAAATTGGTTGATGGTAATATCAGAAATATTATAAAAATATATTCTTTAGATTATAAAAATTTATACTTCAGATAATAAAAAAATATTTGTTAAATAAAATTCAATTGTAAATAATTCGTTTTTCCTTGGTTCGTCGTTTATATAAAATATACATGTTATGATTTTTATACACTTCATTGCACTTGTATAGAATTTAAAATTTTCATTTTCCTTATACCACTTTTAAATTAACATCACCAATTAAAAACAAAATATCTAATTATTTTTGGTGTGATAGTTGAATATTTACAGTTAGAAATATTAGGGCTACCAAAAGATTGTATGGCTAAAAAAAACTTACCGTTTGATCACGAAGACGTGACCATTGCTCGACAGGAAGCTAAAGTTTCTTTTCGTAGTTTCCTCTGGGAAGGAAGGATTGTTCTTAAAGTATAATATTAATGTCTATCATATTTTGTGGTATAATGTTTTATAATTGTATTTTATTTATTCCTTGCTTGAACTTGGGGATAGAGGTTTAATATATAACTAATTCATGTTTATACATAATATTGTATGTGATATATTAAATTCATTAAATTAAATTGTAAAGAATATTATTGTTTAATGTATTACATAAAATTATTTGTTACTAATGGTGAGTTCAGTGCAATTAGTGTTTATTCTATAGATTGCCCGTTCTGGTTTGTCTAGCCATTACCCTTCTTAATGACTGTAATTAGAGCATTGATAAAAGCCTCATTAAATGCCTACAAATAAAGGTGTTTGATTAAAACAGAATTTTATTTATGGTCGGTAATTGTAAATCCTGTTAACCTTGATTTTCGAATCTGGGTGTCAATGTATAGGAATAATTCTATATTCGTAACGCCAGTCTTAAACGAAGTTATCATAAATCATCTGTAAATAAGGTGCACATTAATATACCTGAAATTATTATTAGAAAATTTAATATTACTAATTTAACAGATATTGCGTATATCCTCGTGGACTATTACATGTGGAAGCTGCATGTAATTTGTAACAATGCATTTTTGAGTGTTTTAACATCCTTATAATCTAAAAGATGTCCAGAGACATCTTCAACTTCGTTTTAGTTCGTATTTAATACGAAGGTCGTTATTATTTTCAAGTATGAAATAAACATTAAAACCTAATAATACAGTTATCAAATGCTGCTTTCGAAATGAATAAAACATTTTTATAATTAAAAAATAATTAACCTTTTGTTTTTCATCTTGTCTTTTACTGAATTGACAGTTTATTGTGTTTTTTTACTGAAGAATGGCTTTGATAAACATACTTTGTTTTGGAGTTTAGAATTATTATTAATAAAAATATAAACACTTCAATAACAATTAGTTATTAATTTTCAACTATGTGGAGACAGTAATAAAATTAGAAGTAATAATTCGCGGTAAACAGTATGGTCGGTTCTTTGCTCCAAAATCTCCTTAATCTATTACTAATTTTTACATTTTATTTTCAATAAAGAGACCAACACATAGAGGAGAAAGGTCAATAAAGAACTGATAACAGAAACTGGTCAGTCAATATCTCGTATATGAAGGCAAGAAGATTATGATGGGATGGGATATGTATCTCGGAGCAATCCCTCAGGAGGCTTCTTCATAACAATGAAAGACAGAGTAGTATGCAAGAGACAAGATGAAACACCAAAAACCAGATGGATAGATCGAATCAACAAAGATGCAATAGAACTGCATACAGATAATTGGAAGGAAATAGCCCAAGATAGTAATAGATAGAGAAGGCTGGTTGAGGAGGGAAATAGAAAAAAAAATGGAACTTTATAATCGACCAAGTAACAATATTATAACCGTTCTAAAAATATTAGATGGAATCAAAATCTTTCTAAAATATTATGATACCACCAAACTCCTTCAAGAATAGTGTCAAAACTTGAGAATTAAAATCAATTCCAATAAATCCCAATCAAATCACCTTTACTCGTCTTCGTAAACCTATGACTTCTTCTCCTACAGTATCCTTTAATAACACACCACTTATCCCTTTTAAACAAATCCGATAGATACGTAGTAAACGTACGGACTCCACATAGATAAACGACTCACTTAGAACCCTCATACCAGACTGAAACGACAAGAAACCACTTGACGTTTCCGAATATTCTAGCACTTACAAGACAAACAGTCTTAAGCTTCCAGCTAATTACAAAAGACTCATTTACATTGACTACAATAAGACTTATTTAGACTTACGGAATTGAGCTTTGGAACTCCACTAAGCCATCGAATTCCTCTCGTATTCAATCCTTACAATCCGAAATCTTTTGTAAAATCCTCAATGCTCCTTACCTTGTTATTATTAAAATCATCTATAACGACATTAATGTTTCTTATGTTTCCGATCTGGTCAAATCCAGATACCGGCCCTCCCATAATAAACTTCAGAACAGTCCGAACCCTCTCGTTTTTAACCTTGCTCCTAACCTTGTTTTTAGAGTGCTACCAATGAGCAGTTTCTCAAGAAGTGGTTTCATGTTATTATATTCTTCTGTTCACATTTACTGGATAAATTTTTATTTTTAAAAGTGTTGTAAATATCAATAATAAAAAAAATACCAAACTCCGCAGGTCAACCTGTGGTGATCCTTTAAACTCGACATTACTATCCATCATTTTCTTCAAAAACAAAGACAAATTAGATATTTCAAACTTTTATATCACACTCAGCCATTTATTAAAATAAAGGAATGAAGTTTAGTAGTCATAAATTTTATTTATTTTTGTATGTAGGAATATTTGGATATAATAGCCAATAGTTCTTATATTTATTTTAATATTAAGAGGGCGCAAGAAGATTGTACCCTGAAGAATCTAAGGCGTCATTCGTGTCTCGCTTCCCTTCAATAATAATAATATTTTATAGTGGTTCATTTACCTATTGGTCATAAATAAATTAATTCAAATTTATTGGTCAATGTTATTTAAATATTCCTATTGAATTGTATTATTCTGACTAACCCATTTCCTTGGCTGAATAGTATATTGAGGTGGAGGACAGAATTTCCTCAAAACGTACAAATAAGTTTTGAAATGAGATACTAATTTCTGTTTAATTTATTTATGGCCAATAGGCAAATGAACCACTATGAAATGAATAAAGGTCAAACTAGCATAATGGAAAATAATCATATTTTATTAATTTTGTTTTTTATACCTTTTTATACTTTTTCAACGAATACTTAGAGAAAGCTGAATGTCTCCGGATTTTCTTATCCATCACATGTCTTATGGTGAGACTTTGAATACTTTTTTTCCTTTATTTTTTTGTCTTTGCTGCCGAAGATATCCTCGACTTCTTATAGATACCAGCTATCATGGGAAACCATCAGATCGCTAGCTGGAGGAGATAAGTTTCCCCGGTAGAAAGCAGCCGCTGTACGCTCCGGTTGCTTTGGTTTCACTGATACATCGCGTAGAGCCGGGTCTCCTTGAGGCAGAAATAAAACTCCGGAGGTCACGTTCTCTGCAGCTGAAAAGAGGAAAAAAAATCACGAACGTCTGGGGTAAAAAGGAGAACTCTTTCCCCGGGTTACGTAGCCTTTTGTTTCATTAAAAAATGATGGCTATTTCCTTTTTTTTTTTGGTAAACCACAAGGAAGGATGATATAATTAAGAATAATAGAATAGATATACTATCGTACAAATCGATAAACTAAATTATCGATAACTATCCTGCGTGTAGGCACAGACTTTCCATTTTTATTGGGTGGGAGGGAGAGGGAGGGGAACGAAAGTCCAAAGAAAAAATTCTGTTAGTTCATATTATGTCTAAAAATTCTATATAATTATTGTGTAACGAACAATTTCTTTATTTCCTAATGAAAATAAAATAACACAGAATTCATTCTCTTGTCTTCTATGGAAGATATTTTAATTATCTGTGTACTGAAGATTTGGCCATACATAAAAAAAAAAAGAACCGATAGCGTCCATTGTGTTCCTTCTTTCGAAACACAGCCCCACAGTTCTCACTCCAAATCCCCACACACTTTCGAAATCTCTGGTTTGTGCCGGAGACCGCACAATCAACCTGATTGAGTTACTCTGAGAAAATATAGTAATAAGAAATCCGAGATGCGTCTGTAAGTATCATACTTTACAAAAAATATACACAATATTTAAGTGATATCGCTGCATAATTCGACAGTTACTTAATAAGTGTTGAATATGTATCCTTTTCTGGTCTAAAGCCAATGAAGAAATCTGAGCAACTTAGCTTTACTATAAGATTAAACTAAATAATTAGATTAGCTTTCTTAAGTTAACCACAACTCGATAACATTTTTCACAAGAAAATATTCTTTGTATGTTTGGTAACGTAAAAAAAATGACCAGAGGAATTAATTACTTGAATAATAGAAAGCCGCATCGATTATTATTATTATTGAAGTATATGTCAATTATTGCAAATATAATAATAAGAAATATAATACAATTTTATATAAACAGTATGGGGAAGTGAGAGAGAAGGCGCCTGCAAACATTTTATGCTACGAGTTTAAACCCTGTTCGCGGAATTAAATAACAAAAAAAAAGATAAACATATAAATAATTAATATTGAAGAAATAAGTTCAGTCCCGATTGCTTAGACCACTACGGCGTGTGTTCGATTCTCGTATCCACAATAAGATGAGAGCGACCCTGCGTCTAATAACATAGTTCCTTTGGTCCTCCAGATTTTTGGAGTTGGGCACAGGGCTAATGACCCTATCTTTACAGGTATTATCTTTACAACTACATGTAATTATCTTTGCATTTAGATTCTCTACATCATGCATTGTAATCATTCGCTTTGTTTTATTCGCTACGTGTGTATTATTTACGCTGGGATTGTTGTTTGGTTAAGACGACCTTTTGCACGAAGGCCTCCTACCATAGTTCTCATGGAACAATAGGAAGCCCCAGCGAATTGGTATGTATGCCCTGTTGGGCTGTTTAATGGTTTATATGTTCTGTCTTTAGCAGTTGGGTCAATGCTACCTATATTATGAGAATGGAATCGGCAGTTTTTGTTCTTCAAGTATTGTGCTAAATGCTAATCCAGGAGGAAATAGTAATCATGAATAATGAGGTTGTCAAAACAAAAATAAATATACTTTTGCTATCTATCTATTTATATATATATAAACAAATTATTTAGATTCTTGAATTGAGGTTCAATGTCACAGATGTGAAATGTGAATTCAATAAAAAGAGAAGTTCTCTTGTTTATAAACCTCCTGTCCTCCGCAAGTTGTACCATAAAAATTTATGAAGGGTCACATTTTTTACGCGGTTTTCAATGGTTGAGGGGAGTAAAATTCTACGAGATTTTGAATGTTTGGAATGGAAAGTTTCAATCCAGGTGACAAGGGAAAAAGCATGGACCAGACTGCAACAAGTTGAATTGTAGATGTTCTAGGATTTTCCTTTTTTACTTTTGCTCACATATTTTTAAGGGGTGAGTATTAAAATTTCTTGTAAGAGGGGAGGGAATAGATTTATGCGCCACCGACTTTGGGGTGGGGGGCGAGTTGATGGAAATATATGGTGAGGATGTTTTGCAATAGCTAGTTTAGCAAACAAAACTTTATTTATTTACCCAATTCAAGTAAAAGTAATTTATTTTCATCGTAGTAGCGAACTAGTTAAAAAGAAAGAAATATTAAATACACCTTATTTGACAAATAAAAATATAATTGTAAACAATTATCTCTTTTAATGTCTTATTATTTTTTATTTATTCAAATTTAAATTATTTAAGTGACCATATATTTTTGTCTATGTTCATAGGACTATGTTACTTGCTGTGTGTGCGTTCTAATTTTCTGGTTTTAAATCTTTGGCATTCGAATACATTTTTTTTTTTTTTTTTTTAGCCCTATAAAATTCAGAAATTGTCTTGTATCGGTTTCGCCGAAATATCATGTATTGTATAACTGTAATGTTATGTATTAGTATGTTATAGTATTGATATTGTTTGTGCTGTGAAAAAGAATTTGTATATATATAAACATATGATTAAGTATAATTAAGTGCTATATCAAAAAAAAAAAAAGGATTGATGAGTATGCAGTGTATCGAGCAACCCTATATAGTTGGGCAGCACTGCTTTAAATAAAGTATTTCTCTTTCTCTCTTCAACCTGAGTAGTAATTGGGGTAATGAATTAAGTTTTTTTTTTTTACTTTATTCATTACGTTAATAATTTTTTTTTATTTATTTATTTATTGAAATTTACAACTGTATACATACATACAACAAATAAATCTGCTATAGGAATAGATAGCATGATAAGTGCTTGTGAAGAAACTACTCATTGGTAACACTTCAAAGATTATATCAACTAAGGAGGTCTTTAGGCAGTCTTCTTTTCAGACGCCTCGGAGGGTTTGAGAAATTGTATTGGATGAAAGATTATGAGCTAGAGGATTGGGGTGACCAAAGAGTTTGGAATTTAAAGAGAAATATCTAGTTCGGGTTAATAATTGAATTTACTTTGGCACCATACTTGGAAGAGTAATTTTTTTTTTTCGCGACTTGAAAATTAAACAGTTATATCACTTAAGCAGGCGGCCTCCTTTCTCTTTCAAGGAACCCAACTTCTTTCGCCGCTCGGCTCGGAATGGCCTACTGAGTGGTATCGTAACCCTCGCGAGCTTGCCAGCCATCGGACCCTGTCGAAGGCTCAATTGAATAGCTGATATGAAGAAGCTTGACATGGTATTTCGATTAGCGAAAAATTGAAATTAAATATTGATCAAATTGGCCATACTTCATTAAAGCATTTAGCTATTGTATACGTGTTTTGTTCAAAGTCCGCCAGTGAAACGGTATGATTTCAAAATCAAATTATTTATTTAAGAATTGGTTTTTAATTATTTTTTCACACATTAATATAAATTAATGATTAGCAGCTATTTAGGCTGTAATATAAAAAAAAAATTCTAAACACTAACTTCGCCTAATAACCTGCTTCGAAATTATGCCTTCTTGGAGTCCTACTTGAAAATTTAGGATGAGAACTTATTTTCATGAAGAGAAGGATAGTTGGGGTGATCAGTCAAATAAGAAATGATAGTATTTATTTTGACTTTTGCCGACGTTTCGACCTCAAGTTCAGGCCTTCATCAGGGCTGTCTCAACCAGTGTTTATTGTCATAGTGGATATTGTTTCAGTTTCGTCCCAAATGGATTGTTTGTCGGACTAAATATTTCTAGGTGGATCGGCTTAAAACATCTTATCTCCCTTTATTGTTCATTTATTTTTATGTTACTTAAAACATAATTATTTAATGGCGGTCCATCTGACCCATATAAATCCTCAAACAACACCTTAGGGATGAAACCTGTACAATACCCTTTGAAATGTTGCACTAGCGGATCTAGGATTTAATTTTGGGGAAGCAGGGCTTCAGCCAAAAAGATTTTTTTTCATAAAAATAATTTGAAAAAAAAAAGAAAGAAATTAACTACCATAAATGGTGTTTAAGTGGTTCCTGAAGTCTTATTGAATGTAATTAAACGAACAAGAATACTTTAAGATATAGTTTTTAATATTTTTTTCTGTAAAACATGGTTATATTTTACCATTTTGAGGGGGAGGAGCAGCTTCAGCCCGAAAGCCCTCCCCTTCTCCGTAGACCCGTCTATGAAGTGTTGCTTTCCACCACATTTTGAGGACATATAAGGCTCGGTATATTTCAGAATTGTCTCTTAGATTAGTAATTTGTTGTAAATTGAAAGATGTGATTTTCTATTTAATAGTCCATATAGGTAGTCTTATATTTGGTTCAGTTCTTGTTTTTCTGACTGAAATGTAAGTTCCATGTTAGTATTACACCTAAAACCCAAGATACAGAACTGTGTTTAAGAAGGGAAACTGTATGGAGTTAAAATGAATTGGTGGAGAGGATCTGTATCTTAATATTAAATTTTATTGGACGATATTGGGCAAAAATTATATTATTTTATTTTTAACAATATGCCAACTGGCATTGTTATACTTTTGCATGAAAAATTAATGTAAAAATTGATTCCTTAATAAATAATTTGAAATCGTCCGGTTTCACTGGTTTTATAAATTTTCTTGTTATAGGGGCATACCAAAATAATAGATAGATAGGTAGATAGGTCCCTTATGAATAACAGATATGAACAAAAAATAAAAACTACATCTGGCCAAAAATTACATTAGTCAATGTTAAAGAATATATAGTATCTTCAGTAAAATTAAATTAAAACAAGTAAAAATAACACCATTTTGAAAAGAAAACAAAATATATAAAAAAAACATTATTTAAATGAAAAGAGAACAAAATAAAATAAACATGGTTTGATTTTTAAAATTAAAAACTATATTAATTTTTACAACCATTCACCTCAGTCAAAATCTGTTTCGCAGTATTTATTTTATTATATAACGTCATTTTGGGATGTGAGAAGGAATTGGTAGAGATGATATTTAAATGAGGACAAGGAAGAGGCATGGCGGATTTCAGAAGGCAAGGAATTCCAGAAGGCAGTGGATCGGGCAATAAAGGAATATTTAAACGTCTTAGTTCTACGGGAAGGGATATAAAGGTCGGAAACATGGGATCTTGTTTTCTGGGAGTGTACCACGGGTTTAAAATGTTAAAAATATATTAAGTATACAACATATGGATAGTGTAGCAACCAATACCGCTTTATTTATTTCCATTTTTTTTTTATTAGCATACAAGGTTCTATACTAACTCAATAAATAGATCACCTTTAAATATTAACCTAATCAGTATTAAATATCGTTATGCCTTCAAATAAATTGATGCTTAGGCCAAATAAACGTTAATGATCTACTTAATAATATTTTTATTTTATTTTTTTTTATTAGTGAGTAAATAACTGGGATAAGATGCTTTAAACCTTTAGCCAGTTTAGCTGCCTCACTTCAATGACTAAAACACGTCCCTATATTCTTCCAACCATACGATCAGGATAAAAAGGGAGATTTTCTAGTTTACTCAGCACGCTTTGTAAAGAAGATCAGGTTTTCTTCTGTAAAATTTTTAATAGAGCCGTTCTTGTGAAAGAAGACATTTTGGCTTGGGTTGAGAATAGAGGCCGTAGAAGCTGTATTTTTTTATTTTATTTTTTTTTTTTTGTCCTCCGTGCTCCATTGTTTTCTTCAACGTGGCCGTGCACTTGATATCCGTTTATTCTTTTTTTTTTATCCTTCCTAATTTATAAGAAGCGGTACATGCTTTCTTAACTATTTCAGTATTGCTTCACAAAGCTTTAAAGATGAAATTATTATGTTTTGAAACTGCGTGTTTCTAATAATAAAATAGGCTTTTGATCCTTAAATAGTGCGTTCTTTCGTCCAATGTTTTTTTCCCTTTAGTCAATTTTAAAGAGATAAAACTTACTTTGAATAAAATAAAATAAAATTATTTAGGCTAATTTGCCTTAAGTAGGACTTGAGAATCAAATGAAGCTGAGTAGCTAGACCAGCTTAATTAGGGAAGGATAAAACAACAACAAAACATCATTAGTTTATTTAGGAAAATTACAATTCAGGTGATTTTTCGTGATAAAAAATCAAGAACCAATATTTTCATCAAATCTTCACCCCATGGATTCCAGGGCGTAACAAATGAACTCACAGACATGGAACTTGTTGAACAATAGATGTCATTGTTTCAACACTATGGCACAAGTCACAGGCGGATCTCCGGGGGGGCTTTTGTGCTGAAGACACCCTCTCCCCGAATTGGTAAAATATAACCATCTCTTATGAAAAAAAAAATATCTAAAAGTATTATTGTTCGTGTAATTAAATTTAAAAGGACTTCAAGAAACAAGGAATGGGGAAAGGTTTATGCGCTATTGGCCTTGTGGGGAGAGGGGAGAGGGGATGGGTACCCCTAACCCATACTGTTGAAATGTTGAAAATCATGTTTACCTTCATTACCAATTTCTATCAGAAGATTACTAATTTTGTTCTGAGTAAGTGACATATATTGAATTATTTGGTAATGACAGGACGCAAAATTTGATGCTCTATAACTTTGATTCTATGGGTTTGTCTCAGCTTTTGACAAATTTGGTATAAATCGGTGTTGGTTGACCGTGGTTTTATACTTTACCACATTAACAAATTATAAAGTTTATGAACTCGTTCGACGCAAAATTTAACGTTGTTTAATTTTTTAAAGAGTACATTCGTTTTGATGCATCATTTAGGAGTTATAGGTGAAAAAACAAATAAGTATCGAAAAGATCTTACTTTTTGGCTGTAAAAAGTTTTCCCTTGGTAGCCCACGTTGACAATTTTGTTTTTAACATGTCTAAACCCACATATATAAGTTTAAAAAAAATAAAAACTTTTCTCTAGTTTTTCGCAATGGATTTCCCGTTTCGAGCCTCAAATTACTGAACTGATATTCTTTAAATCAACGCCCATTTTTGAAAGCAGCGGCTTTGGAACGGCAGACAAGGTTCTTTTTACTCAGAATAACATACATCTTCGTTATTTACAATCAAACCTTCGACTGCGATCAGGTCGATTTTTGGGACCTGGCTCCAGGGCTATTAACGTTGGGGAGGAGGGCGAAGATGATGAATAGCTGACAGAACGACAGCACATTTGCTAGATGCGTTGCAAATATAATGTAAAATAAAACTAAAAAAAAAAAAAGAAATATTAGTCCATATCTGATATAATAATTAACAAACATATTGTAATATTGTGGATTGAAAAATAAACTTATATCTACAGTAAAATTCACATATCATATTTACACGTCAAGTGTTACATACATTATTGTTGGGCTCAAATATATAATTTGAAACAATATTGGATATATTTCATGAACTTTTTTCTATTTTTTATTTTGATATGTTTTATGATTTATCAGCGCTGGGTTTGGAAACGTACCCATGTCTCATTTTCTTGAACCTCTTGCACCTCTTCTTACAGATACAAATATAAATGTTTTAGAAAACAAGGAACGAGATATTCATGTTGCAGTATTGTATGACTTCAAAAATAGGACCTAGATTATTTAGAGGGATTTGTAGTATTTCTTGTGAGAATAGTTGGCGGAGAAATCAATTCGTGAAAGTAATATTTCTAACAAAAGGAAGTTTCTTTTGCAATGCCTGAGCATTTGGCACGTGCTCTTTTGTCCATTGGGCGTTGCATTACGAAAAAAATATGTAAATAAATAACATTTATAGATACCCTTGTATTGAAATTTTTATTTTCGTTTTTTCAGAAAATATTATAAAATAATTGTTGTAATGATTTGTTTAACATGTATGTATATGTAAGTGTTTAAAGAAGCTTCAGGTTCTAACGAATCCCCATCTTAATGTTAATCAGTTAATTTATACATTTAACAAACGATGTTATATAAAAATAATCATATGATATGGTTTGCATTTAGATCAAATTATTAAGTGTTAATTGTTGTGTTTCGTTGTACTAAATACTATAAAAACCGTTTTTTTTTTTTTTTTTAGGTAGGTGTAATTTTAAGATTTTATGTATTATTTAATCGGAAATTATTAGTAATAAAGATTTTGTTTTAGTAGATCAGGATGTTTGTTTACCAATGAAAGTCTATATATTTATTTTAAAAACTACTTTATTTCTTTATTTATTTATGGTATATAGGTATGACTGAGT